TATGCTTATGTGTGTAATCAATTTTATTTCTTGTTTTAAATGCTGCCCTAATATAATACTATAGATATATACAGTGAAACCTCCCTTGGGCGGACACTCACCGTCAGTCATTTTTTGTCCGCCCAAGAGAGGTGTCCGCTTAATGGAGGGGAAGCCTATTTTAGAACTTTTTAATGTTTTAATTAATTGAATAGTCACTATTTCTTATTTGAATAAAAGATATTGATATTACATCGCTCAAACAAAAATGTGCATGTATTTTTTCAAAAATGCACATTTGATTTATGTGCGTAAATACATATTAAGTAATAACAAAATAAAAATAAATGTTACATTTTAGTCCATAAACTACATAAAATCATAGATTCATTACATAAAAAACTGGGAAATTATCGATTGACGTAAGTTTTATTTTTAATTTTTTTCAGTGTCAGTACCCTTTTCATCAAAAGTTTTCAGGTTTTTATCAGTCTCCAAGGGTTTCTGACAATTCAAATAACGAACCTAAACCACTGCGCAAACCAAACTAAATGTGTGCATAACAATCACATTTTGTGCGGGAAGTCCCCTTTTTCCATTTAGTAGTCCGCCTATGAGGAGTTCGCGTCCGCTCAACGGAGGTTTTTGTTTGATTTGTTATGAAAAGAAATCTTAATGTCCGTTGATAAGAGGTTCGCGTCCGCCCAATAGAGTTTTTGTGTCAATTTTATGCAAAATAACTGTCCGCGTCCGGCCAAGAGAGTGTCCGCTTAAGAGAGAGTAATTTGTTCCGAAATTTATACTTAAAACTTGGTATAGGAAAAAAATGTCCGCCCAAGGGAGGTGTCCGTCTAATAGAGGTGTCCGTTAGGAGAGGTTTCACTGTATATGCATATGTACATATAATTATTAACATACTTTCGTACATAATCTATTGACATACATTCCCACATTTTTATGCACAAAAATGCATGCGTTGTATAGTACACTCGGAGCGCTCGCTCGTCGCTCACTCGTCCTTCCTAGCAGAGTGAGTATGCAGACAGCTACTCTCCTCGCACTGCGAGCGAGGCAACACAACAGCCTCGCTCGTTTAATAGGAGCGCGAGCAAACAAGCAGCGCTCGCTCGTTTGGGGAGCGAGCCAAACTTCTCGTGCCTCGCCTCATTGCTGCTACGAGTATGAGCTGCGAGCGCCTCGTTGACTGTGAGGCATTGAGTAGGAGTTTGCTCGCTCGAACTCCGAGTTTTTGCCTACCCTGCTTAATATTTTCCATTAATTTTAGCTGGCAGCCACTGCATTACTAACTTATTTGAACAGGTTCAGTGGTACAAATCGAAGAGTTACTTCGCTGAAATATTCATGAAAAAGGGCCGAGACTATGTGACAAATTTTAAAAAGAGATCTTTTATTGAAAGAATTTGAGCTCAATGTTTCCAAAATACGAAGACGCGCTGGAGACCGCCACATTATCTCCATGATCAAAGAATAGAATAAAATAATGTTCCTCCTTTCAAAAATTGTCAAAACAAACATTAAATCCGTTGGAGCCATCGAAACTACATATCGTCACCTTAATTCGTAAAGACCTAACCCACACTGCGTTTTTCCCTACTTGTGTTTGATACTCTTTTTATAATCGGCCCTATTATGGTTGTCAACGTCGACGTCGGTGCCATTTTTTGTTATCAAAAAATAGCCCTCGCACGTCCAACGCCAGCTTCGCTGTCTAGAGTAATTTTGCGGAGAGGTGTTCCTCTCATACTACTGTGGTCAGCGAAGTCGGAGTTGGAAAGATAAGGGCTATTTTTTTACGAAAAAATTACGTCGACGTCGACGATGCATATGAGCAGATCCGGGAAATAGTCAACCAAAAACGGAAAAAATGAATGCCATTCAAATTATCGCATTATGGTATCAAATATGGCATAGTGCAATACTTTTTTCCTTTTTATAGTTCTTTCTCACCTATTCGAGGAATCTGCCTTTCCCTTCTTACTTCTTGGAAGAAAGCTTTAAAAGACTTATACAAGGGCATGACCTTCACCCTTTTAAAAAATAATAACAATATTCTTGGACTCACTACAGATAACCACGATTCTACACTGCTTGGTATCAATATTAATTTTTTCAGTCCAAGCTTAAACATAATTTATGTATGAATACATGTGTATGTATGTATGTATGTTCAAAGCTATAAATCATATGAAAATATTTCGTAACTTGCTTTTACTGTTGTGAACAAAGAACTTTTTATAATGCAGCTTTGGTTTTCATCAGCTTACTTTGCCACCGATACGCTGCAATATATTGCAGGAAAGTACACGTGTGTGTACTCAAATATTTAAAATACTGAAATTTATTAATTAAATAACAATCACAAGGTAGCAAAACAGCCCGGATGGATCGAGTTACCCCCACGTATAAGCTGGTGGATGAGAGCGGTGTGGGAGGAAAATGAATAATAAACATAAGTATATATGTACATATATAGTGCATATGTATATACATATATATATATATATATCGTCGATGTTTTTTCAAAACCGCCTAAATCGCCGTTGTGGCAAAAATGAGATTTGGTAACCCTGAACACCAGACATCGAGATTTATGCATAAAACTCGTTAAATCGTTATTAAAACAACAGATTTGTAAAATAATAGCTACAGAAAATAGCGCCTCACAAGGCAATGCTTTCAAAGAAACCCTGTTTTTCGCTCTCCTGTAAAATTCGAGCGCCGTAAGATGATAGGCAATTTTGCAATTGGACTATGGGCGGTTTTGCAAAAACATCGACGATATTTGTACGTTTCCTATAAAATTCCTCCCCATCTTCCATAATCAAAATATCCTCGAGGACAATGAGACAACTGAATACTGAAAGAGTGAGTGAAAAGTGGAAGCTTGAGCATACAAAAGCTGGTGAGGACAACGGTGTAGCAGGCTGCTTTCACCGGAAATCGAACAAAAATGCTTTTAATATCGAATGTAACCGCAGGCCGCAGTAGTTTCCATTTATTGCTTTGACCCCTGTTGCCAACTACCGTCATTGTTATTGTTATTGCAATAAATACCGATGCAGCGATATTTGTTTATTTTTTTCAATTGCGGTTATTGTACTACTGACGCTGCCTCAGCGCAACCAGTTTGGTATCCTTATGCACCTCTGTTTATTAATATTCTGTGGCATTATGAATGCAAATGGGACCAATGATGTGAGCGAGCAAGCACGCGCTTGAAAATGCTGCACAAGGAGAGGTGGACGTAAGGAGAAAATAGACGGTACATTTGTGAAGAATTTTGATGAAAATGCCATGTTATGCTTTCGCAATGAAATATTTAATTACACATCAATGTATTCAAACGGGTATTGCTTGAAACACAATACCCAGCGAACGGCAAATTTCGCCCAGCAGAGCGATGCCGACGACCAACTTTCGCCCAGCTAATTCGCTTACTGAAACACAAATAGAGCGGTATCGAGCGGTTCGAATGCTGTCAGCTGATAAGGTGACCATGTTTCAAGAAGGAAGCTTTTACAACGAAGAGGGAAAATACCAGCAAGAAGAAGTTTAAAATATGGAAATAGTCTTTAAATATAACTACTAGTAAACTTACGTTTTACTAGATTAATCTCTGATAGAAAAATATAAGGTATATTATTTTACTTTTAAACAAAAATTACGATAACTTTTAAAGTATGGTCATCATGGCCTTTTTTTGTCGTTGCCGTTGACCGCGGCGATAGAAATAAATCTATCGTCGCGAACAGTCGTCGAGCAAAACTTCGTCGTTTGCTTTGGTTGTGCGCGTTCTCATATAAATCAGTGTGTTTTAATTATCTCAGCAACCATCCGTGACGAAAAATTTGCCGTTCGCCGGTGTTGTGCTTCAGCTTTATAGCGGATAGAAGTGGAGAGTGAGCCGAAACTTATTTTATATGAAAAATAATAAGAATAAATTAAAATAAACTTTGACAACACTAGTGGATGATCAGCGCTGGTGGACTTTGAAAAGCATGGAAATGTAACACGAAAGCTCAAAGAAAGCTCAATTCGTAAGAGAATCGCACGTGTCCAAAAAAGAAGCAAGTTATGTACACGTTCGCAATATCGAGCACTTTTATGGTGCAATTATACATAAGCGAAGACTTTGTGAGAATGCAATAACCGAAACTCCACACGTACATACATACGTATGTATATCCTAAGGGAGTACGAGCAACTAACAAATGTAGTAGGTAGAAGGATGCCTGAAAGCTGCTTATCAACAGACTAACTGCGAGCTCCATTTAATGCCGTTAATCGAAATTAACACTCAGTAGCCAAGAGAGGAGTACCAGCTGTGACCTGGCAGGATGCCTCCATGCCAGCGCCAGCTACTGGAAATATTTATGAAATGGTTGGAATTTCTTGTTGGCCATAGTGGTATACTCTGTGAACATTTGTTGTCTTTCGTCTGCCAAAGTGACGAACGGCACTGTTACGCACGCCATAGGGTAAAATGCGAAAGGTGTTCGCTGACATTGAACCTTGCCGCCTATCGGTGCGTGGTGTCGTTGGTAGATGGTAGGTGATGTTGCCATGGTGTGCTCGAAACCGAATAATTTGCTTGGGTTGGGGCATTTCGCAATACAAATAATTAAGCTTATGAAAATTTCAATTATTTCAGTGAATCCTCGCAAAGCTCACATTGGCCATTCTGCAAGCTCGATGCTGGGGTGACAGTTTGGTTGGTTTATTTGTATTTATCGCATTTATTAAAAAGGGAATTCCATTTATGAATTGCAATTTATTCGCTGAGGAATGTTGTTGCAACGGCCTGCCGTCACGGAATTGGGATAGCTCTGAAGGGCTTTAGTTTTTTTTGTCACATACGAATCAAAACCAAACACAGAGATTTAAGGTTATGTGACTAATAAATAAACGAGGAATTTAAAATACCAACAACTCGACGAGCGTATGAAAAAACCAAAGTAAGCAATTTCTGTAAGAGCAACCTGCAATTGCTGTGTACTTACCCAAATAGGCTTGTTGTGGTTCGGCCATTTGTATGAGAGCTGAATCCTTTTTGTTGTATAAGATTTTCACACGTTGCACATCTCCATAAACACCTGACGGAGGAAAGAGAGAAGAGTAAGAATTAATATGAAATTACCTAAAGATCTAGAGAATATTAATTTATTAAGATGGATCTATGAATTATCAGGATATAATACTTCTAAAAAATCAAGAAAATTTAATGAAATCCAAACGAAAACAGCGGAAAATCAACACATACCTACTTATATTTTAAGTGATACAATTATTAATTATATTATTATTATAAATTAGTTGTTGCAAAATTGTCAAGTTCAAAAACTATGTTTGTTTGTTTGTACTTACATACATCCTGCAAAATTCGGATCGAAAGGGTTAAAATTGTGCTAGTTGCTACAGCTAAGACTTTAAATCTTATGTATATCGTCACTAAAAAAGGCGCGTAAAAAAATTTTGCGAAAAAAGATGCTTATGAAAAACTTCGGCGAAGAGTCTTTGACGCTGAAGTTTTTTTATGCGTCTTTTTTCGCCAACTTTTGAGTTCGCGCCTTTAATCGTGTTTAGTGACGATATGTACTATCGAAATACGCGGGATTCGGTGCTTTCAAGCGCACTGACAGTGCTTATATTGACATTCTCGGTTATATGCATTATCGGTGCAACCAAACGAACGACTACTTCTATTAAACAATAAATTTTCATTTAAAACAGGAACAAATTAAAATCTCATTTATTTACTGTAAGAGAAATATGAGGCTGTGGGAGAAGATGTGGCCTAACCCACAATTTATTTTTTGTACTTAATTGCTAAAAACAAGTTCAAATATGATACATTTTAAAATAAAAGTCGCATTTCTTTTTTTAAAGGTATTACAATTGAAATTATTTTAAGTAGTTATGTTAGTAAAAAGAAAAAAAATTTGATTAGGCTAATTCTGCCCTCCCGGCCTCATATACATATGTACAACAGAATTCAAGTGCACAGAGAATGATAAGCAGTTATATTCGGAAATTTTATGAGCGGCTAAAACTTATACAAGTTGTTCACTAAAAGATTTTAAAATGAAAAATTAATTTTAATTTATCAGCGGAAAGATGATACATTTTTAGGTGCTTCTAAGTGGGAGATGCTTATAAGCGGTTAATTATAGCTTGATTTTTTGTGTATTCTATACATATTTAAATATTTGAAACTTTTTTATAGTGTTTCTAGCGTTTATAAGCGAAAAATAATGTAAATGCGTACATACATGCGTATCTATGTATGTAAGTATATGTTAAATTAGGACTTGCCCTGCGGAAAAAAATTATCAATTGATAAAAGATAACCTACTTGTAGTTACTTTTTATGCGGGATTTCCATAAAATATATAACTTGTGGTTAGCTACAAAAAGCTAATTTGAAACAAGTGGACAAGTAATGCATAGTTAGCTTTCGTCAAAGAAAATATACAGATAATAAGTGACTTTTAGCTCCTTCCTAATCAACATAAAGTTAGCTTATAGTTAGACACATTTCCTGCAGGGTGTGTATGCATGCATGCGCTTATTGAAATTGGCCAAAAGTTGAGATTGGACCACCATACCGCGGCAAACACATCGCTAATGCGTTCTCCCAGTAGAACGTCTGCCACTATGACACCAACAGCTTGGGTGGCATATTTGCCAAACAATAAATTACGATAAAAAGCTTTTCTTAAAAAAGTTTCTATACGATACGAAGCAAACTGCCATTGGCAACGGTAGCGGCTGCAAAATCAATGGGGAGTCGCCATGAATATAAAATTGTTCTTCCATTTCTCACTCGAACTTATTTCGTTAGAGTAAGCGCGGCTAAAGTGCTATGAGCTCTTTAAGATGTGTGTGTATGTAGACAAAAAGTTCTGTGGTAAAGCGCTAAGCATTTGACCAACACTCAACTCGGCTCTATTTTTATACCTTTTGAAATACTTCGGACGACATTTGTCACTTTCGGACACAAGACAAAAAATCTTTCTTTAAAATTAAGTGTTTTGGCTAAAATTCGTGTTTGAGTACACAAAGGTAAAGAGAGGGGTTTTCACATTCATTCAAATAATAGTTACAAAGGTTGTTAAAGCTCCGATGATATAGTTATTATCGAGTTAAATATCCCACTAGTTACAATGGAATGGGCCCATGAACAATATTAAAAAATTAACAAAACACATTAAACTTGAAACCAGTGTACGAAAATAAACTATATTGTACGTTACTATTTCGTTTCGTTTATTACTTTAACAGTTCGGTACAATACGAAACAAAACGGCTGAGTTCACTTTGGCGATAGTACACTACAGTAGTTTAGTAGTTACAGACGAAACAACAAACGAAATGAATCGTGCAGGGAAAATATTTTTATGTATGTACATATATGCAATAAACAAATACAAAACGAATGGCTGCAATGAATAAAAAAAATAAAAATGTTTTTTAATTGAATTGGATATGAAAATTTACAGAAAAAATTTTTTTTCACGTAATTGAAACGTTTGCATACATATAAAACGTACCCTATGGTACAATTGTCACAAACGAAAAGCAAACGTTTCTCGTTGGAGAAAATGACAGTGAATCTTACAATTTGGATCTGACTATTTACAAAACTGTACAAAACCACAAATGATATGATGATCGATGAGCAAATGGGAATTGTTTTGTACAGTTTATTTTCGTACCCTGCTTGAAACACATCAAAAATACTGAGTCACTGAATATTTAGAATTCTACATCGATTATATTTCAAGAAACAAATTAGTTAGCCAGGTGTACATGAGCCCTGCATACTTTGACACACAACAAATGGAATTCCAAATTGAGTTGAGCGAAAAATGCATTTTGAAGAAAATTTGGCCGGTAGTAATCGTATGCGCTTCTGTAAAAATAAACTAAGTAAAATGTGTACAAAAGCGAATGCAAACTGCATAAACCCACAAAATGCCACAAATTCAAATTGAGAAATTGACTCCAAAGACGAATGCCAAAAAGTATAAATTGTTGTTTAGTGCCCAGCAGCACGAACAAATATGTATGTAGGAATATATTGGCCTCACAAACGACAGCCAAAGCACTTCAACGCACGAACATACACATGCTACAAGGATCTAATAGAAGGCAACTACAACGCGCCTACAGAAACATATTCATACTTGTTGCACATTGATAACACCCGTCATAGCTCAGGTGAAAAAATCCAACCAACAGACAGCCAAAAGTGAGTTTTCCAAATGCAAGAGCCAATTCCAAACAAATTTGGAAAATGGTAAAAAAATTGGCAACAGCCGAATTTGAAAAAGTAACAAAGTGAATTTAGTAGAAAAAGTGGACTGAAAAATAAAAAGCGAATCAGGGGTGGAGTGAGCGTGAGTGCAGCACTTGTGCTGAAGAACAAAAATTGTGCATGCCAAGAAGTAAATCCATTTTACACAGCCGAATGCATAAACAAACCGCACTACGAAAAAGGACAGACCAGGGAACGAATCAGCCGATGCTGAAATGCCGCAGTATTAGACACACATATGTACATATGTACATATACACTCGTGGCCACAAGTAAATCGAAGAAACATTGAAATACAAATATCAGTTGCATCGGCTGGTAGATATGTCGGCAGCATGCAATATGGAATGTGCAACATTCAAAATCAACTGGGGCCGATATAGCTAACTTAAACTTGCCAGTGAACTCACGATTGACGACCGACGACGAGTAAACAGGAAGCATCTACATACATAGCCAAACGAAAGCATGCATGTAGGCTAAGGAGAATTGAGGCTGTACGGAAAAGTGCACTCGCAAACCAAGTAGTATGGCCCGCATCCGGCTGCTTGATGGCTTCGATGTGCACATTGAAGCGGAAACGAAGTCAACAGTGAGAGGAGGGATTGGCAGTAGCTAAAGAAGACATACCACCAGGAATTAGAGTGAAGGGAATGGTGGGCACTGATGTAAAAATTTACTCACTGTTTAGTGCGCTTGACTTGTGCCCCACAAGCAAATAAGAAGTCAAGAATTCGAAAGAAAATATTGCTTTAGTTTGTGAAAGGATGGCGAATAACCTGACTAAGGATATGAACTGCAGAAGGGGATGATATATGTAGATTACTTTGCTAGTTGTATGTATTTGTAGGTATGTCTGTACAAACTACGGCACTGTTGCGCCAAAAGGTGTTTATACATTTGTAAACTAGTAAGTTTTTCACTTGATAGTATTTTATTTCTATTTGTATTCAGCCAAACTGATTTACACTAGCAGTCATTACGGTGAATTGGAGATGGGATTATAATGGTTGGCTTTTGGTAGATGAGCTCCCGCGAGTACTATTAGTCACATATCAAGGATGGGAAGGATTCTTGAAATTATCTACAGGAAAACCTTTGAACGCGTAATAATTTTAGCTGAAATTGCAGGTAAATGTAAATGCGTTTCAGATTAATAGTAAATTTGCTGGAAAGAATTATAACAAATGTCTCTAAATTGATTTACAGTATTTCCAAAATAAAAGGAATTCTATTTTTAGAATGCTTAACTTTTTAGGTGTGCTCGTCCTTAAGTTATATGTTTTTGTTATTTTTTGGCCTTATAACAATTATATTCAACAATTTTATAATGAGCTCGGGGCCATTTTTTAAATGAAATAACTTAAGGACGAGCACACCTAAAAAGTTAAGCATTCTGAAAATAGAATTATTCGCACAAACCAACAATACCAACAACCACATGATCAAGTGAATTGCAGCGGAATAGCTGCGCTTGATTGTGTTGGCATAACAAAAATGAAAATAGTGGAAATAAGCAAACGATAATTTACAAGGCGTACTTAGCACGGTGCATAGGCAACTGGCTGAGTCAGTGGGGATCGTCGGTTCGAATCCTACTGAAAGAAGTCTGATGAGGAAATGTGGTGATTTCCGAAATAGCTATCACTTCTACCATTTTTTCAAACTATTGTTGCTTTTCCACAATAAATTTTCATTTAAAAAATGGCCTCGAGCTCATTATAAAATTGTTGAATATAATTGTTATAAGGCCAAAAAATAAAAAAACAAATAATT